TGTTCTTTGATGATTTGTCCAGGATTCCCAGCCATATGTTAAAACGGATCCTATGCAACATGCATATTTCTTTTTCTAATCTCTCCAAGGACACGTATTTAATGCATAAGATGATCATTTTATCAATTGCATTTTTCGCTTGCCTATTAATCGCCCAGGATTCGCAGCCATATGTAAACACTGGGAATTCTGAGCGGCTAGATCTACCGTCCATGTTGACACTATTATTACGTGGGCTGTGGTGTGAAGACGGTGACTGAGTTCATTCTTGCGTGTCCATGTTACGACACCTGTACTCGACTCCGCTTGAGGCACTGAACCTGAGTGATCAAATCATTTCCGTCAACCCCCCGTGTGGGTTCCGGGGCCCCATTGTGGGGGGAACAAGAACAGACCCACTGCCTCCCCAAAAGCATGTCGTAAGAGTCGACTAATTGGGGAGCTTCCTTTGAAGTCGGAGTGCATCTGCCGGAGAGGCAAGGAACCAACAGTCTGTATTCAAGAGAATGAGATTTGTAAAACTGATGCACACGCAACACTCAGGTTCTGGAGCAGGACTGCATTTCAGTAGTGGACGAGCAACCAGAACTTTCCGCCAGAGTGTACAGCTGGTGAACGCAAAGAAGAAGAAGATTTCCGTCAACAATTCTCACCTGTGGTGATGTTCCCACCTCATCTTTACCAGGATATATTGGGTATTTCAGTTGTCGTCTGTTTATAGCAACTGCTAGCCGCTGTGGTCTAGCGGCTAGACAGACGCTTGCCTACGGATCGGAAGGTCGTGGGTACCAGGTACGGTCATAGGAAGTAAAGGCAGTCGGCGTAATGCTGGTCACATCACCCACCAAGTCCCGTTTGGTGTATACAGTATCGGTCTAGCCCTGTATACCCAATACGTTTGGAAGGCGTGGAAAAGGGTCCTTTGCTTTGCTTTATTTTACTTTACTTTACTTTACTTTACTTTACTTTACTTTACTTTACTTTACTTTACTTTACTTTACTTTACTTTACTTTACTTTACTTTAATAGCAACTAAGAGTTGGAATATTTTACAGCTGTTTCTTTGTAGATACTGTTGGCTCTAATGTTTTGGTTTCCAGTTCTAATCCAGACAAATTATTTTTTTTTAATAATAATAATAATAACGAAAATAGACCTTGACTCCCAGGTCGACGCAGCCTTCAGTGGGTATCAGGTAATTTCTGTGGGAGTGTTAGCGACTGACGTGATGTTAACCATATCAGCCACTGAGTGCAGATTTGAGTCTAGCGAGCATCATATGCCGATTGGCTATTGGCCGAGGAAAGGTTCCTCTTCTTTTACTTACACACATTCGGGTGCAGCTATAAGACGAGAAATAAAAGAAAGAAGAAGAAGAAGAAGTGTTTAGTATTATCAGTGTGACTTCGAGAGATGGGTGATTAAAGCACACTTGCTAACAAGGGGTTCACAGAACAGAATGTTACGAAACGCCGACAGTAACGCCAAACAAAATAATAGGCCGTGACTGGTGTTTAAATTGTGTAATTTGAGAATTACACGCAAGTTTCATTTGTGTTTTTGTTTAAGTATCGCTTTCGTCGCACACGGATATTTCCTTACGTAAGTGTTCTAGTGAACTCTAGTCATCTCCGTAGGCCACACAAGGAGAATCTAATTTCATTTCACAAAAGGTATAATAAGCTAAAGTCCCAGTGTTCGTGTTTAGGATTTGATTAACTAGACACAGTAATAATAACGAATAAAGCTCTGTCATCCTGCTTCTTCTTTGATTGGAGTTAAGGTCGTTTTGTTCTTTTCTGTATATTTACTGATTTACTAATTATTTTTTTTAACGAATCTTATCTTCTTCTGAGAGTCCATGCGGTGTGGCTTTGGTAGGCATGTCTATCCACAACCTTCTGTCTCGTGTCCTTTCAATCAACTCTGAAACAGATGATCTTCCATGCCAGGATGTCTCATTGTAACATCTGTTCTCTCCTCTCCAACTTTTCTACCCTCACGATGTACTTCAGTTTTCTCCTCGTCACATGACCAAAGAATGTAGATTCTCTTTCTATGTTTATATTTATTCAACAGATCAACATTATGGCACACATGTGACACCCAAAAGTGCTCCGTTATTCTTCTAACTCACGTCTGACAAATCTCAGCACTGCGCACGAACTCTGTTGCACTGGCGAGGATCCTGAAATACTTTGGATAGATTTTAAACCCTAGATTTTGCCCGGGCAGCGCCGTTAGGCCCACATTTCCGCAGCTTCTAAATAAGTTTTCACTAATTTACTAAATGTCCATGATTAACACCCATATATCAATATAGGATTTATAAAGCTTGTAAGAATTCTCTCATCTCAATTGACAAAGAAAGACTACATAGAATATTCTTCATTTTGTAAAATGCTGCCTTTGCTTGAGCCATTCAACATTAAACTTTCTTAATACATCTGATTTCGTGTCAGTAAATTTTCTGGTTAATCTGTTTTTGTTTTACGTCTTTGTATTTGACGGCTTCTTCCAATTCTCTGTTGTTGACTTTTGCCAGTAAGAGCAGAAGAGACCAGAGTGAGAAGACAGGGTTTGAATGGAAGACATAGCTTTGGGACGATGTCTTAGAAAAGATGTAGGGAAGTAAGTCTGCCCTTCCTCCTTATTTTTTCCCCCTTCCTCTTTCAATAGGATGTTATCTCATGTAAACTTTCATTAACTTCTATCAGATGCTTATTTGACGACCTAAAGGGCCGAGCTTCGATCCCTTCTGACAGACTCTGTGATAAATGACCTATGATGCCATGTCGACTCCGTCTTAATTTGGTACCCTGTATTTTCTTGAGAAGTAAAGGCGTCCACTGCAATATTAACCACATCACTCATCGGGTACAGGGCTGTCAATATCCATATGCGCCCAGCATTGTATGCTGGATACACCAGTGGCTTAACTCTCCCCGTACCAATTAACCATGCCTTTACTTGTTGCTCCTCACATAATTATCATCATCATCGCCATCTCTCCTGCCTCATGCACTTTCCTAATTAAGGTGTCTTCTCTATCCTGTGCCCATCTTCGTGTTGGTCAGCCCCTGCCTCTCTTTGCTGGCACCATGCTACCAGCTGCTATACTTTCCGCTTCACCGTAGTCCCTCAATATGGCCAAAATATTTCTGTTTCTGAGATCAGAAGCAGACTTATAGCCAACATTCCTTGATGTTCACACTCCTTACATAATAAACTCTTCCAAACCATTTGTTCTCAATGCAGCTGTCTATATACTGTCTCAGACGTTGCTTGTTGCATTGTGTCTCTTACTGTAAATTAAGCTCCCTGGATCTAAATATTCTAAACAGTAGGTAGCAAATACTTGAGATTAAATAAGGTAAATTAGTAACCTGCCCCGGACTGAAAGAGTTAACTGACAGTTGTTTCCCACGTATGTGTCCTGCTCTGACCTTTTCCAGGCGAGAGAAACAATTGTGCATGCCATTGTGTAGTGGTGCCAGAGCTTTTCAAATGCAGTCCATGGTGTTATCATTATCTGTCTTTAGTTTGGCACAGTGGTCTCCATATTTTTTTTTTTTGCACAAGGGCCACCATCACTTATCACTCATCACTTATCATAGGTTAAGTAAAAAGCAGGAAGAGGAAACCCAATATGGAATAAAAAGCTGAGATTTTGCACACATAACCACTTTGATTACTCTTATATTACAGTAAACAATGTCACTTTGCAGCAACAAGCCTTCATCGGCAAACAGTATTAAAAAAACGCATTAAAAAAAAAGAAAATGAAATGAGTGAAATAACTACATTGCAGAATGTAAATATTGTGTAAGCAAATGAAAGTTTGAATGGGAAAAAAGACAGAATGAAAAAAGAATAAAGTATGTCATTCTCATTTGAACTGCTCTGAATTTTAACAGAGGCATTGCATGGCAGAAAAGTATGACACACAAAATGAAAATCACACACATTGAAATCAACCAAGCGGATACAAAATAAAATAACTCGGTGATATATGGATAAATAGAACAAGGCTCTGTGATGAGTTGCAGCTGCAAAAGAGAGATGACGTATTTTCAAATTAGTTGACTTTTGTAGAGTTATGAAAGAAAAGACTACTTTTTCTTTCTGGTTTTCAATGGAGTCATTAGTGTAGACGCTTTCATAGTGGCCATGAAAACCATGAAGGACACGCTAAAGGTATCACTTAAAGCCTTAAATATCCTGACACTTGGGAGGTTGCTGCACAAGACCAGACTATATATCGAATGTCTATTTGAAGAGGGGCTGCAGCCTGCAAGGCTTCAAGAAAAAGGCGCTGCTGAACAGCGTAGGCAGACTAGAATGACCTGTATACAATGGGCCCTTTATCTACAGACACTGTTCCCTGTGGGAGTCACCGTGGCCGAGCAGCTAGACGCTCACCGCGGATCAGATGGTCAGGGGTTCGCTCCCTGGCGGAGCCGGACTTTTTTCAAAAATGAACTTGGCTCCCAGGTGTAGTCCTAGGAAAGTGAAGGCAGCCGGCGTGATACTGACCACATCATCCATCTTGTGCCGATTTGTTTATAAAAATATAGGTCTAGCCCTATATGCCCTATACGCCTTAATGCATTGAAAAGGGTCCTTTACTTTTTTTTTTAACTGTTCCCTGTCCTAATGGCCATAGATTCTTCCAGGCCATATTGGGCTTTTAAGTCACCTCTGGACTCAAAGACAGTCAACTATAGTTTCATGAGAGAGAAAGAAAGAGGGGTCCTCATCATGTGTGATGGACCAACAACAACAACAACAGGTCCTTATCCATTTGTTAGCATCTCTTCATCCTATCAGGGAGGTATGGTAGTCACAACCAGTTGTGTTGACAATGTAACTGCCCAACTGGCAATATCTGCTTGCACTAATAAGTCTTCCACACTAAGCATGAAATTCCAGGACCATTTTTTCCGTCACATGTATTTAATATGCTTTTGAAGACGTTTTATTTCTGTCTCTGTTTGCAGAAGCCGGAACCACTGAGGGTAAAGGAGATTGAAGAGGATCGGATTATGCTCCGACCCATTGGGCCTGGCGTGCAAACTTTGGAACCAGAGACTCTGCATACTGGCACTTTAGGAAGGCCCACAACTCCGGGCTTTCCCACAGGACCTAGTGAGTGCTTTTCTCTTCTGCCTGTTTTTTTTCTTTCTGTTTGTGTATGAAGCTGGGGGCATATTTTTTTTAAATGTTATTTTTCGTTATTAACATATACCGATATAATTTAGTACATTGGGTTATTTCAAATGCATGAGGATGTGATAAATTGATGGGGAGCATAGAGACTGTAATGGAATAAATTCAACTGGGATCATATGTATTCTTTCTCACAAAAGATTTAAGGTTACACTGGAATTATATGACCTATTATGGGTGCCATTATAACTTTTTTGGGGATTGAACAGAGTATCTAGGATTTATCCTATTGGCTTGCCATCGACATGGTGATTTTGTCATTTCAGAGTGTCAAAACTTAAAATAGCAACCTGAAAAAAGGCCCTCTAGTGTAGTTGGTTAAACCTGACATCGCGTGATGAACTCCTTGTGGTCCGGGTTCACTCCCGGGGTAGGCAGAAAAACCACATTTCTCCCAGATTGACGGTACCTGTCTTGGAATCAAGGCCGAAGGGTTGCGATATCCATAGTACCGAGAAATACTGATCCATAGTACATAGAAGGGTTAAGAACTTATGGTTTCTGGATATTTAAAAAAAGAAAAAAAAAGGAGGGGAAGGAAGGAAGAATAAAGAGGTCATTAGGGACGAAATAAATATATAGATTTAAATCATGACCATTCATCAAAAACCTCATATCCATCTAGGACAACAGTGCACATCAAGGTGAATCCAGATGTAGCCATAGTTTCCAGTTGTAGCCATATTAAAAGGTTCAAACCCCCGTGTGGGTTCCGGGGCCCCATTGTGGGGAAAACAAGAATAGACCCACTGCCTCCCCAAAAGCATGTCGTAAGAGTCGACTAATTGGGGAGCTTCCTTTGAAGTCGGAGTGCATCTGCCGGAGAGGCAAGGAACCAACAGTCTGTATTCAAGGATCTGTAAAACTGATGCACACGCAACACTCAAGTTCTGGAGCAGGACTGCAGTTCAGTAGTGGACGAGCAACCAGAACCTTCCGCCAGAGTTTACAGCTGGTGAACGCGAAGAAGAAGAAGAAGAAAAGGTTCAAAAGGGTATCTTGGATCTGTTTCTGAAGGATTGACAAATGTGATATAGCTTTTCTGGTCAGTCTGGTGTCACACCAGGTAGCAGACCTCCAAGGAAATATCATAAATACTTGGGGATACAATAAATGCGTGGGGATACAATAAATATGCGGGGATAAAAATTAATAAATACAAAGAAGTTAATACGTAGGGATCAAATAAATACTCAGGAATTAATTATATGAGGATCAGATAAATACACGGGGCTGCAATAAACACTGTAATAAAATGCAAGGGGATTGATTAAATTAATGTCAAGCAAATACTTGGAATGGAAATCTAAGAAATATATTGGAAGTAAATAAATAATTGTGTAAGAAAACTGTTGGGATAACATATTTGCATTGGAACAAACACACACACAAACTGGGATTTAAATAAATACATTGGAATAAAATACAAGAAGATCAATTAAATTCATATTTAACAAGTAAATACATTGTGAACAGATGCACAGGGATCAGTTAAATGCACAGTGAGCTAGTGAAACATGAGAAGCAAATAAATACATTAGAAACTAATAATTAGATGGGGATCAAATGAAATATCACTATTTAAATGTCACAGTTAATGTTTACTGTTTGGGACAGAGAGTGTTGACTGTTTTGGCCAGTAAAAATTTACTTTTTTTTTGGGGGGGGGGGGGGGGGGGGGGGGTCAGTACTTTTTTTGCTGCTGTTTAATGAGCAGCATACTGTTTGGGACTACAAGTTTTTGTTGTCTGCAGCAGTAAATGTTTGCTGTTTGTAGCAGCAGATTTGCTTTTCACACAACATCACACCAAAATGATTACTGTTTGAGGGTGTAAATTTACTACTGTGAGCAGTAAATGTGGTCTTAATGTTTTTGTATGTTTTGAAAACCTGTTGATTTAAAATCAGAGGAAAATAGTTTACTGTAATTTGTCTTGAAAGCTGGTTCTTTTGCATGTTTGTAAGGTGAATACTTTCTGTTTTTTATTCATAGAATATGTTTCACCACAATGTCCTCTTATTATCATTAAATTAATCCTCAAGAAAACTGTCGTAAATACATATATTTTATATTTTAAGTCTGGTTTAAATTTGGTGGAAGACAATCCTCTGAGAAAAAATGAAGCTGGATTACGGAGCTTTTCATATCCAGTGAATGTCTGATCATGTGGCCCAGATATGAATGGCTAATGTTTTAGTTTTGCTTTTTTCCAGGCTGCTATAGTATAATGTAACACTGTTTGATCTGATAATTTTTTATCGAAATAATTGATTTAAGTCTTTTCTTTTGGTTTAGACTACATTTTTTATTGTTTTACTGGAGTAATACAGTGTTAGGAAAGCGTGAAGCAACAATGAAATTCATAATCTGTTTTAATTACCGGTACCTTCTTGTATCATGAGGGTTAATAGACTATTGGTTAGGGCATACAGAGAGAAAGGCAGATAACAGAAATTGTTTACTCAAAATAGTTTAATGGGAGTAGAATATGAGGCCAACCAAGGATATGATGGAGAGATCATATAGAGGCAGGCCTAGAAACAATTGCAGTCACCACTTGGAAGTAGAAGGCCAATCAGATGATGAATAGAGACACATAATATCTGCAGAATTGAACCTCAAGGGCTTGGAATACTGAAGAAGAAGAACAATTCTGGGACTGTTATATCTTTATTTGTTTAGGAAATATCTAGTTGAGTTCCCTCCCCCTCTGTATTCTTTATATTGTTGGTAGTGTATTAGAAAGTGGATGTTTCTTAATTTGGTTCATAGTATTCTGTACAGATTGGACCTTTCTATTAGAGTGCAGCCTGTTATTTTAACTCCAGTTTTCACTTTCGTTTTTATTTTACTGTAGTTGCTTGAGGGACTTAATTTGATTGTAGTGTTTAATTGTATGACTGTTTGATTGTACAGTATTGTAATGTAATTACTTTGAATGCATTGTTTGTACAAATTGCATGATGATCTGTGAATATGTTTTTCATAATTTTATGTTTCCTCCAGACTGTGATAGTCAAAATAATTTGAGATTATCTTCTCTTTATTGTAGTAAAAGTAATTTGAGGTTATCTCCTCCTTATTGTGGTAGTTAACAACAAAAAAATCACAGATATAGACAGATATGTTCTCATGTATCTCCACTTTGTGATAGTCAAAATAATTTCAAAATTATCCTTACTGATTATCATTGTCAGTGTTAAATAAAGCCATTACCAGAAAAATAGAAAAGGCTGTGTATCTGCTCTCCCCCCCCCCCCCCCCCCCCCCCCCTCTCCCACGCACACACACCCGGGCATTCCTGAATTGGTTTCAAAGTGAAGTATTTAGTGTTAAGAGCTCAGAGGAATTAAAGCAAAAATTTGGACCAAAAGAGATGAGCCAGATGCAGCTGGCTCATAAATAGTTTATGAGACTAACTGTGTAGGATCTGTCTGTGCAGAATAGAGGGAATGCAATTAAACGATGGAATCACTCATGCAGACCTTTGGAGAGAACTAAATACTGGTGTATCAAGAGACAAGAAGACACTAGCATTGGTTCTCTTGTACTTGTTGTCCAATGATGACAAAGTTTTGCTTTTCTTTAAACAAAATTAAAAAAAACTTACTGCAAAAATCAAACCCTTGTACTCAAGGATCATAACATTTTAGAACTCATTGACTATTTTATTTCAAAGAATATTTAAAAAACAAAAAAATCTAAGAAATTTCATATAGTTTTATAAACAGCCCTTTATAGAATATCATCTTAGCATAAATAAGAAAAGAGCAACTTGTCAACATCAGAATGTTATACAACTTCAAAGCGAGTAAGGAAAAAAAATACAGCATGGTAGACTAGTCTTTTTTGAAGCCCAACTTGGCATATTTACAATATCTTTAATGAAGCCATTCCAAAAACAACAAGCTTTATTCTGAAAACATTTTGTCTAGTTTGAATGACAGTTCTCATTTTTATGGTATCCTGTTAGCAGTAAACATCTGTGGTTTTGGTAAACAAAAATGGCTAATCTCAATGTTGTCATTGGTTGTTGTTCATTCACATGACTGCTTCTGATGTTGTTAATTTAGTATTAATGTGCTAATTGCATGTCTTTTACCGAATAGCAACACCACCGTTTCCTGTTTCTCCAAGGACTCCCTACCAAAATACAGGTAAAAAATCAATCTGGTATTACCAGTAAATAATACTCGCATTGACGCTTTATATTTTCCACCATTTTGCTATCAACTTTCTTTATTTTAGCCACATTAAAATAACACAGCGCAATGTTGAAGATGCTGAAATTTCCTTGGCCAGAGTTTCTTTCTGCTGCTTTATATTTATTTTGCTTTGATGCAGATTTAAATTCATTTGCTGTTTTGTTTATCCGTAATTTCATATGCAGTTTTGAAAATCTACCCATTAAGGATGCTATCAGTCTCAGAAAGTTTTGATAGGAATTTTTTTTTTTTGGGGGGGGGGGGGGGGGGGGGGATTCTGCAGTTTAATAGCTAAGCCATTTGTTTATGCTCTGAAAGTCATTAGGGAATTTTTATTTGCTCTGAAGACTGAAGGTTAAATTTCAAACATCATCCTTTCACTTTTTGGGTTCCAGACCCCAGATTTGGCAGAAAAAATAGCCCTATTGACTTTTAACAAGTATGCCATAAAGATGACTAATTAAAGATTTGCTGGAATGGAAAATCTTGAGCTAAAAAAGTACAGATACAGCAGCCTACCTGTAACCAAAACACAGTGTGACAACTGCGTCTTTAAGGGTGAATGCTGAAGAACTAGGAGAAGGAATTATCCTTAAATTCACAAGGAAAGGTATTTCAGATGTTCATAGGAGATATGTCACTGAAGCTACAGAGTGCATTGTATTGTGACATCAGTTGTTCAACAGTCCCTCTATGGTTCAACAGCCAAACTGTCATTCGGCAGTTCCCCTTGTGGTTCACTAATGACAATGGTTCATCTTTCACTCTGTGGAGAGCGAACAAGCCCAGGGAGATAATACCAGAATTAAGAAAAGTGGATTTATGGAAAGTAATCATTATGACAAACCAGATGTGATAACTTTCGTGAAGGCTAATAATGTGGTGCATGTGGCCACAATAAGAGCCAGATTTATTTTGTAGTCTGTGGCCAAATATAAAAATGAGAGAACATAATACACAATGTTTGTGGACCAGGAGAAAATCAATTACATATCATGCTTTTGTGCTACTTAAAGAATGAAGCTTTCCTGCAGTAGTAAAATGGCAAGATGTTTGCCCGCTGACCTAAATGTCCTGGGTTCATAACTGCACTAGCCCTGCATAAAAAAAAAGTATGGCTCCCATGTCCACCAGCCTAAAATGAGTACCAGAAAATAACCTGGGAAGTAAAGGCTGCCAGTATGATGTGACCACCTACGGAGTGCTGATTAATTTATAACTGTCAAGCATCATATACCTCTGCGCTTCTGGCATGAAAATCTTTTACTCCCTTTCTGTTTTGTTTGCTTTGAGGATGGTCTGCCCTTTATCTGCTAAATGTATTCTTAGCTCGTTGTAGAGTTTTGTGGTTCTTTTGGTGGATGTTACCTTTTGGTGGATGTTACCTTTTGGTGGATGTTACCTTTTGCTGGCTGTTACCTTTTGGTGGATGTTACCTTTTAGTGGATGTTACCTTGTTTCCCCCAACAATTACTAACTAGAAGAAAAAACCTAGCATGATTTTTCAGGATGCTTCTAATAAAAGCCCTATTATATTTATAAGCCCTAGTTATAGACAGACAGATGGATTGTGTGTGTCTGGTGAAACACACAACAGACGTATTGAATTATAAAGATGTTCCATTAGTGTTTTAGAATAAATGTATTGTTTTTTCAAACAAAATCAAAGAAAACAAAAATATCAAGTGATGTAAACTAGCAATATCAGGGGTAAGGGGGAACCAAACAAAATCGAGGAAAACTATAAATATCAAGGGAAACTAGCAGTATCTAGGTGAACTATCCATATGTTTTTTTTTTTAAGTGGGGGAGGGGGCGCATGAACAAAATCAAATGAAACTACCAGATCAAAGTGAACTACCACATTATTTTTTTATTGGAGGAACTACCACATTGTTTATGCATTGGGAAACTATCAAATGGTTTATCACTTGGAGAAACTATCCGATGGTTTATTACTTGGAGAAACTATCCGATGATTTATCACTTGGAGAAACTATCCGATGATTTATCACTTGGAGAAACTATCCGATGGTTTATCACTTGGAGAAACTATCTGATGATTTATCACTTGGAGAAACTATCCGATGATTTATCACTTGGAGAAACTATCCAATGATTTATTTATTGAGGAAACTATCCAATGGTTTATCACTTGGAGAAACTATCCAATGATTTATCACTTGAAGAAACTATCCGATGATTTATCACTTGGAGAAACTATCCAATGATTTATTTATTGAGGAAACTATCCAATGGTTTATCACTTGGAGAAACTATCCAATGATTTATTTATTGAGGAAACTATCCAATGGTTTATCACTTGGAGAAACTATCCGATGATTTATTTATTGAGGAAACTATCATATTGTTTATCTGTTAGGGAATCTATTACATTATTCATCTGGTGAGGTAAGGGAAGACTCACTTTGTTTATAAAATGCCGAAGCTACCACACTTTCTGTTGAGGAAACTACCACATTGTTTATCTTTTAGAGAAACTATTTTGGAAGCTGCCATATAATGGATACAGTATGTCTGAAAAGGAATGTGCCCTTTTCACACACAAAAATATTCTTGTTCCCCTTGATGTGTATTTACTGAAATTTGTATTTACTGAAAGTAAAGTAAAATGCCAAAGATTTTTCCTGCATTACAAAGATTCAATGTGGGAACCCTGCGTGACACGGCAGATATGAAGTCAATAGTCCATTTCCTCCCATACTGGAATCAACATAGCAATTGTAATGGCAGTAAAGGCTTCTATGTGCCGTGTCACGAAGGATGCTCATGTTGAATCTGTGTAATGTAAGAGCAAAACTTTGATATATTACCTTACTTTCAGTGTATAAAAGATTCTAAAATCACATGGAGGGGATATTTTGGGGGAAAAGGGTACATTGTCTTGCGAACATCCGGTAGACACACACACACACACACAAGCATACATGCACACACACTACGGGAACCATATTTCACCTAACTGTAGCACTGTACTAAAAACAATGCAGGTCCGCTTAAAAATCCTAAGCAGATCTTTTCACTCATTTAGTTCTTTTGTGTTTTTCTTAATTTTTGCAATGCATTGCGGGTTTTCAGCTTTACCTTGTTTTATTTTTGTTTGCTTTGTACTTTTCTCCCATTTTTGTAGCCATCCCCCCAACACCAAATAGTGTCTTTAGCTACAGCCCACACCCAGCTGTCCAGCCCTGGAGCGGTGGTGGTGGGAACTCTAGCAATCTGCAGCTGCCACCCAGAAGTAGGGCATTACAGCCTCTATCTGAAGCACCAGGTTATCCTGGCAACGTTTCAAAACAAATGATTATGACAGGTAAGGGGAACAGTGAAAATATGATCTGAGAGGTGGACCATATGTACTGATCATGATGTTAGCTCTTATTTTACTGCAGGCCTTCTAAAGTGTCAATAAAAGTTTTGTTATTATAAGAACACCTTACTCCATAACTTACGACATATGTGACTTACGACCATCCACACTTATGATCGCAAAAAGTAAATAAATAAAAATTGTAAATAAAAAATATTGATAGGGTGGAAAAGTTCCTGGAACTGATGCGGTATAGTACATAATACTTTTTTTTTTCACATTTTTTGCAATAATTAAACGAACATAGATTATCTACAGTTTCTGAAACCCATTTGAAGAATAAAAATAGGGTTCAAAAATATAAATTCAACTTATGACCAGTTTGACTCATGATCAGTTTGATTTACAATCTTGTTGGGCTGAACGGAACTCAGTCACAAGTCAGGTAGACCCTGTATATTTGTAATGTAAAAAAGTTTTCTATTCACCGTCCTTTTTAGGATGAAAATTTTTCGTTACTTGAAGCCCCACCCTGGCTCTTGCCGGGGGCCGCAATATAGCCTAGTGGCTGAACGTGGTTTCTGGGACCTCTCCACGGGGATCCTCATCCACATGGTGGCACATTGTGTCATCGGGTGTTTATCGCTTGTGTGATGTCCTGGTGGGGTAGAAAGTCAGTCAGTCAGTCTGTATATTTGAATATTAAGAGGTATTGGCTCATAAATAGTTTTGTGATTGATCATTTTAAACACCATAATGGTTTGGAGGAACGGTTCCTGGAAGAGGAGGCAGGGGTTGACCAGCAAGACAGTGTACCTAGGATATCAAGGACACCCTTGGCATGAAAGTTCACAAGGCAGCAGAGTTGGCAGGGGCCCAGTAGCTTTCCGGTCTGCTATGATGAGGGCGGCATTCTGCACATTAGCTGCTAAATGATGATTATAATTGTTCCCAGAGGGTCCTATCAAGTGCCAGCATCTTTACCTCAGTTTCTGGTTTGCTGGAATTTCACTTCTGCTCTCAGTGCCCTCTTACACATTAGATAGGATACACTGTTACTTTGGGCCTCTGTAGGTTTCATCTCCCACTGGTAGCCATTATCTTTTTTTCTGTGTTACCATACCATCATTAAGTCGAAATAAAAGCAATGACTTTCATATAAGGCAACATGTGCATTTGAAAATCAATAACCCTGTACTGTAAACCAAGTTAAAAGGTACACTGTTAGGTCTACAGCAAAGAGGGGAGAGTGTAGGTACATTGAAACAGTCGGAACGTTAACAGTTTTGCACAGAGTTAACGGTTCTGCACAGCAGGCAGCATATGCGACATTTTAGTTAGTTGTTTTTCTTATTTGTGCTCTGTTGATCCCTATCCTTCTGCAGCTGCATGCCTTGGGTTGTGTGAGTTTATATTTAGCTTGCTTCCTGCTCGCATGAATGTTTGTTTCGTTCTCAGTTATTAGAAATGAGTGATGGTTTTATGACAACACATGATCTGAGGGACTTCCACTTAACCTCAGGTGTTTTAAGTTCTTTTATTGTTTTGTGTTTCATGGTTTGTATTTTAACTGTTAATGTGTAGAAATTTCATTTTATTTTGTCTGTTTTAAATTTAGAGAAACAGTATTAGCATACCATGGACCAAGAAGAAAAATAATGTCTCCGAGATCTGAACATTAATTAAAAACTGTTGAAGGATAGCAGTGTTATGCCTCAGAGAGTAAAAGCTGTAATTCCTCTGAAGGCTGTCTGGAATCAAATGGAAAATGTAACAAATCAACGTATTTATGCATCAGCAGACTGATTCGGTGATGATTAAGCAGAGACTTTGGATGATAAGTCAGGGCTGAGGAAAAAACATAGGTGGACTTCTAATCAGGCTTGCCGCTGGTGCTGTTAGTAAAAGATATTTTGATTGCCTACTGAAAAGGGGGACAGAGAATGCATGGGAGTCTTAAGTGCAGTGATGTCAGTTTTTTATTCATTCATTTAGAAGAATACTTTGGAAATATTAAACATCGCAGCAGTTACAAAAGACAAAACGAGAGGGCATGGTTCCCAGAAAAAACGTGCAGGGGGTGATAGTCACAGCATGTGAGCCTGAACCTTAAATGCATAATTGGCCCAAAAATGTATCAGATCTGGCAACTGAAAAAGTCCACCTCTGTCTCTGTCTTTCTCTCTCTCTCTCTCTCTCTCTCTCTCTCTCTCTCTCTGTATCTCTCTGAGTGTCTCTCTCTCTCTCTCTCTGTGTCTCTCTGTATCTCTCTGAGTCTCTCTCTCTCTCTCTCTGTCTCTCTGTATCTCTCTGAGTGTCTCTCTGAGTGTCTCTCTGAGTGTCTGTCTCTCTCTCTCTCTGTGTGTCTCTCTGTATCTCTCTGAGTCTCTCTCTCTCTCTGTGTCTCTCTGTATCTCTCTGAGTGTCTCTCTCTCTCTCTCTCTCTGTGTCTCTCTGTATCTCTCTGAGTGTCTCTCTGAGTGTCTGTCTCTCTCTCTCTCTCTCTCTCTGTGTCTCTCTGTATCTCTCTGAGTGTCTGTCTGTCTCTCTCTCTCTCTGTATCTCTCTGAGTGTCTCTCTCTCTCTCTGTGTCTCTCTGTATCTCTCTGAGTGTCTCTCTGAGTGTCTCTCTCTCTCTCTCTCTCTCTCTCTCTCTCTCTCTCTCTCTCTCTCTCTCTCTCTCTCTCTCTCTCTCTCTCTCTCTCTCTCTCTGAGTCTCTCTCTCTCTCTCTCTCTCTCTCTCTCTCTCTCTCTCTCTCTCATGAACTGTGACTGAGAATAATGTTCTTTGAAGGATCAGCTACATGGTGATGATGATGGGTTGTGAATGTTTTTATCATTTCAGTGGGGAAGGTGGAGGAGATGGTTGTGGTTGACAGTGTGGCATAATTTGATATCTACAGTAGATATTTCAGCTGTATATATAATAAAAGCTTTATACATGAAACTTCTTTGTGACCCCCCAAATTCACACTGGTTGTAAAAAGAATCCTACCACTTGAACCCTGACCAAGCAGAGACACTGCTACTTTGCCACAGTGTCATTGTCTAAATATCAGTGTGTGTGTGTTCAGGTGGAGGTGGCCAGATCATCAGCCCTACCGGCACCCTGCAGCATCCTGTGCAGCAACAGCAGCACCAGACAGTACAGTACCAGCACTACCAGGTGAGCAAGCCAAGTTATTATATGTTCTCTTGTATTTACTTGTTTTTAGTTGTGTTTTTTTTTAAGGCTGATGAAGTGGTTTTAGCCACAGTGTTCATTGTGTTATGTGTGATCATTCAGAAGCAGACTAATTCTACTTCTCTTGTGGGTTGATTTTTAACCGAATGAAGGACATGCCTGAGTGGGAGTTTTACTATCCTGTTCATTAGGAGTGAATGTTCTTGGCTGGGGTAAACATCATACCAGAATAGCTTGTGTAGACATTGCTAAACTACTGGACGTAAAAGTGCCTAGAAAAACCACAACAGCAAAAAAAAAATGCTTGGGGTTGGTTCTGCAACGTCCTGTAAATGATAAGCAACTAAGAGAAAAAAAGACATTGCTGCAGAAAGAATGAGAAGGTTGGGAGGGGGTAAAAGGCAGAAAGCAGTCAATGTGAGAGTATGAATGATGGGTCTAAACCATAGAGAAAATAAAGAAAACAGAAACTTTTGAGGTGAGTTAATAACGGACATTTCAGCATTATTGGCATTTTTGACATGTGCACTGTCCCCATGTTCACTGCTTCCAGTGCAGATTTTCAGTACTAATGTGCATTTGCATTCTGATTATAGAGAGAAGAGTGGAGGAGGAAGGAAAGGTATAATCTCATGACAGTCAGCACTGATTTGTGGTGTAAGTATTGTCATTTAGATGCAACAAAAATAAAAGTGCATGTCTGTTACTAGAGCCATAAGTAAAACTAGGACAAATACAGATTGTTTTTGCAGAGATCTCTCAGAGGCAGCAGACTTCTGACTTTGTGTAACAAGATCTAACATTGGTAGGCAACTATTCTATATTTCCTATAGGGAGGAATGGGAATTGTAACCCATAGTGATGAGGATGTGACTATCAAAATCAGCCCCTAGCCACAATAATCACATGGTTCACCACTGCCATAACATGCATCCAACATGCCTTAACTCAGGCACCCAGCTTCTAGACTGTCTGCAAGTCCCCCCCCCCCCCCCCCCCCCTTTCACCCAACCCAGCTGTCACTGTATTTCATTGTTTTCTCTATTTCAGTCCCAGCATCACCAGGCTCAGTCTGGTCACCATGATGGACAGGGGCAGGGCACTCTGCACATTGACACCAGTCCCAAGATGTATATCACCCCTCAGAGCCCACAGTCTGCTGGGAGGTAAGAAAATGGTTGCCAGTTTGTAAATCAGTCTTTAATATTAGTTTATTTTAGTCACCATCGCCCTTTTCTTCCCCCTGCCTGGTTCTGGGGCCCCATTTTGGGAGATAAGAAAATGGTTGCCAGTTTGTAAGTCAGTCTTTAATATTAGTTTAGTCATCATCGCCCTTTTCTTCCCCCTGCCTGGTTCTGGAGCCCCATTTTGGGGATTTTCAAGATTGACTATAAAGGATGTTTCCTTTGAAGTCAGAAAGCATCAGCCTGGGAGGCTAGAAACCGTCTGCACATAAATATGCAGATCTATAAAATGGATACATAGCCACCATCAAGTTCTGAAACTAGACCAAAGTCCTCAAGAGGAAAAATTGGTCATATTCATGTTTGCTGACCCACTGGCTGATCTTTCATGTATGTGTGTGTGTCTGTCTGCAGGTTTGTGTGTCTGCATGTATGTGTATCTGTGTGTGTGTGTTTGTGTCTGTGCATGTGTGTCTGTATCTGCATGTGTGTATCTGTATGTATGTATGTGCATGTGTGTATCTGTATGTATGTTTGTGGAAAATATGCATGTATATGTCGGTAGGTAGGTATGTATGTGGGCGAATGAGGGTGTGTTTATGTGTGTGTGAAGGTATGTGGGTATGTATAATGCGTATTTAAGTGAGTGAGTTGGACTGGCCTTAAACCCCCCCCCCCCCCACCACCACCACCACCCACACACAGCCTAAGCTTAGGTCCCACCAGTGACTCCTTTAGAAAAAAACAGTACAACATGACACCCCTTTAACCTAGACCAGACTGAGAAAGTGTGTAGATGGGCTGGGAAATGTGAATAGGACCAAACATTACCAGAACTTTCCATTAGAGTTTAGTGAACACTAAAAAGAAGTAAAGTGTGTATGACCATGCATCGTGCACTGAGATAGTGCCTGCCATGTAATACATATCGTTTACTTAAATGAATGTGTGCTAAAACGTGTATGCTGTGTGTGAGTATCGTGTATCTTGTTGGCCACTTGCCAGGGCCCCACAAAAGTTAATGACTAAGTCAGGCCTGCCTGGTAGGTCAGGGATAAATAACAGATGAGTGAGAGTGTAACAACAGCTGCCAAACTTGTTGAAAGGACACAGTGAAAGATCTCTTTCTTTGCCTTGACATGAACTGGGTAAATAATGCTAACCCCATGTTTTTATAGACAAATCAGCTCTTGATGGGTAATGTGATAATCACACCGGCCATCTTTACTTCCTGGAACATTTCCTGGTAAAATTGTTGGCCATGTCAGCAAGAATAAATCAAGTCTGAATAAGGATTTGAACAGATGGTCACCTCACTGGCACTGGCTGGTAAGCATGCCACTAAATGTGCATACTAAAACTATGTTGTGCAAACTGCAAGATGCCAGCTGTACATGTTTAAACTTGTCATCTGTACCCACTACACGTTGACAGCTGTACCCACTAAAAATTGACAGCTGTACACAATAAACGTTGACATCTGTACCCACTAAACGTTGACAGCTGTACACGCTAAAACATGCTGGTTGTACACACTAAACATTAAGAACTCGATGTGCTAAAAGTTAACAACCGGGTTCTAAACATTGAGAGTTGTGCTTCTGAATCTTTTAGAAGTTAAGAGCTGTGTGTCCTAAATTCTGGAAAGCTGTGTCCTGAATATTAAAGGTTGTAGGTAGAAAAGGTTTAGGTGTGTTTGTGTCTCCTTAAAATTGAATCATCACAATTTCTTAACCGTTAAGCTCATTTTTTTTTTTTTACGTCCTTAGCACAGCCATAATCACATATTTCAGCTGCACCATCCAACATGGCTGCCCCATCCAACATGGCTGCCCCATCACAGCACACAGTTTATGCCCATTACTCTCTGTCAGAGTCTGTGGCTTAGGCGTTGTGAACACGCTTCGTAATGCCGGGTTCGATCCCAGCTGTGGACGGTAGTCTTGCATTGGTTTCGATAGTGGTACCGAGAGCTGACTGCTCAGAAAGCAATGGCAAACTACTGAATGTAAAAATGTGCCTAGAAAAACCACGACAGCAAAAATTGCTGGGGTTGGTTCTGCAACATCCTGTAAATGATACGCACTAACTTTTATTGTTGTTGCTAACTCTCTGATTGCACCTGCCAATATTCAACTTTAACCGCCAGTGCTGGTTTCCTTGGTAGCCATTGTCAGCCCTTAATGCATCTGTTAGCCACATGCCAGCCTTATCTCTCACCCAGAACTTCCAGCGCGACCCAGACAACCTGACATGTGTGACCTCACCATACTAGCTGCTCATATTTGTGTGCATATCAGTAGAAATATTGTTTCCCTCACATATGGTTGATTAATTTTTCATGTTTATCAGGATTGTTGGAGTATGGCTTTATGATGTGAACAGTCTTTGTATGTAAATGTTATGTCACTCTTTTACTGTATCTAGTTAATGTGACCAGTGTGTTGTTTATGTCATATTCACTTACCTTCTCAGTAAAGAAATCTGTTATGTCATTGTCACATGTCTGATACCAACATTAAAACAATTCATGCCTGTTCTATTTCCCTGCAGCCCTCCATCTCCTGGGAACTTCAACACACTGAGGCAACAGTTGTCATCTGCCCACTCCATGTCTGGCTCAGTGATCAGTCCAGGGCCTCACTCCATGACGGGACAGAGTTCACCGAGTGTTTACTTTGGGTTGTCTCGCAGAGGCAGCCTGTCCTCACTGACCGGTGAGTTTCCTTCAGCTGGGATGTTGTTTCCTTCAGCTGGGTTGTTGTTTCCTTCAGCTGGGATGTTGTTTCCGTCAGCTGGGATGTTGTTTCCTTCAGCTGGGATGTTGTTTCCATCAGCTGGGATGTTGTTTACTTCAGCTGGGATGTTGTTTCCATCAGCTGGGATGTTGTTTCCTTCAGCTGGGATGTCGACAAGTTTATTTATGAAGACTGGAAAAGAGACTGAGTCAGGACTAGGCTTCTGGTGAAACTCTGATATAATATGTCAGTCAGTGAGGTGCCATCTCCACATTGATTGGCTGCAATGAATCTCCAACATGCTCTGTCTCTTGTCTTGGTTGCACACTCACTCAGACTGCTGTTTGTCCATCTCTTGATGTTGTTCTCCCACTTAATATTGTCTACCTCTTGCTGTCTTGCCCTCAACCTTTCCCTTCAGAATGGGTTTTAAAAGAATTGTCTTTTAATGTGGCCAGAACAGTTCAGTTGTCTCTCTCTTATTTCTTCCATGAACTCTTTTCTTTCACCATCTCATCACAACCTTTGTATTTGTTTTTGTGTCCATGAAATAGGACCTATGCAGTCACATTTCCAGAGGCTCAGTTTTGATTTTCTAGATGGTTTTAAAAGAATTGTCTTTTAATGTGACCAGAATAGTTCAGTAGTCTCTCTTTTTTTCTTTCATAAACTCTTTTCTTTCACCATCTCAGCAGAACCTTTGTATTTAATTGTTTTTGTGTTCATGGAATATGACCTATGTTACAGCTTAGGGTTACATATGTTATTTATAATTCGGAAAGACCCAGTTCTATTTGGCTTCAGTCCACTTTGTAACAATTCCCATAATTGTATCAAGAACTGACCACTCAGAAAGCAGTGACAAACTACTGAAGGTAAAATGCTGGAGTTGGTTCACAACTAATGGTTTAAACAAGAAGAGTTGATTAAATTACTAGTAGCCTGGATAAAAGCACCTTTTTTTTTGAGACAAATACAAGGAGCGTGAGTTGCTGTGGCAGAGTGGCTAGACGCTCGCTATGGATCAGAAGGTTATGGGTTCGCTCCCCCGGTGGAGCCAGACATTTTTCAAAAGTGACCTTGACTCCCAGGTCGACCCAGCTTTGAGTGGGTACTGGGTGCAGTACCAGGAAGTAGATGCTGACCACATCTCCCATCATTTAGCTCTGTGTGCCCCATACGCCCAAAGGCGTGGAAAAGGGACTTTGGTTGTTTTTTTTTTTACTTACTATAATACAAGAAGCGAAATTCTGTGAATTTGTAATAGTCTATTCTTATCTTCTGGTTTAGTTTGATAATTGTTCTGGTATAACTGTTTCAAAGTGGCAGTTTTTAAAGCAAAATTGTTGAAATAGCCAGCATATTTGTAAGTAAGACCTGTTTTATTTCTCTCAAAACAATGTCTTGTGATGTGACTATTTCAGACACAGAAATGGTTCACACTACACCAAAGTTTGTCAAGGATATGTCCAAATATTGGTATAAACCAAATATTTCCAGGGAAGAAGGTAAGATTGTTATGTCCAATAATATGTAATTACCTCAAATAAATATGCATTTTTAAAAAAAAGTGTTACAAAAGACATCAATAAAGGTATGATGAAGTCAACTCTTTGTACATCTAGTTTGTCATGCATCAGTGGTGTAGAACCAGCCACTCTGTCTGTCTGTTCATTTCCCAACACTCCCAAGAAAAATGAGCTGAGATTCAGCAGACAGACACCTCTTTGGGAAGAAAAGAGATTGAGGAAACGAGGACATCAAAGAGAAACTCTGAGGTGAACGTTGATGAGAGGAGCCAGAGGTCCTGGATTGGATTCAGAGTGATTGAGCAGGAGAGAAAGAATGGAGGAATAGACTGTGAATCGTATGAGACATATAATGACACAACAGGACAATGAATGAACCAATGAAAAAATCATTTTGTTTCATAATTTTTCCCTGAAGAAATATTTTTGGGAGGGTGTCAGTATGGCTTGCACAGAAAATTTAAGTTACTAGATCATTACGACCAGAAGGCGTTCTTGAAACTATGCATATATACACATTTTATTTATTACTAACAGTCATTTGTGTCCTTATCCCCTTTCATCTGATCATTATTTTCTGTAAACACATTTTTTCATTTATTAACCTGGATTTTGGACAAAGAAGAGGAGAAATACTGACATCTTGACAGATCTGAACATCAAGGAAGATTGGCTAATAAACAGTATCCTGTCTCGGAAGCTGAAATATCTTGGTCATATCAAGCGCATGCCGGATTGGAAAAAATTATAGCAGAAGGCATGCTAAGAGGAAGGAGGGGCAGGGGCCGAGCAACACAAAGATGGGCACAGGATATAAGTGACTCTTTGAGTATGAAAGTACATGAGGCGGGAGAACTGTTGAGAGAGACCGAGTTTCTTTCAGGCAGACTGATTAGAGCGACGTTCTGCAAAGGACCTGCTACATGATGATGATGAACCTGGATTCTGGAGCAAAGAGAAGGGACAATATGACCTCCTCAGAGCCGGTTAACTCAAGGTTTAAAAACAAATGACATCATTGTCAGTGTTTATTAATAGTCAAAAGATGCGATTGGCTACCTTATCCTGAAGGAAACAAATTGGTACTGCAATTCTGTAGCCTGCTCATTCGGCCGACCATAGTATGTCATGGGCAGAAAATATACTCGGATTGTAGCTAGCAAGGTACACACGTTTAATGACCTGACCCCAGCTAAGCAGTGAACACTCTAATAGGGTGTATAACAGCATATATAGATCACTCTGAAAGGTTTCCTGTTTAATAGGGGAGACAGAAAACTTTTGTTAGACTAGGTTTATATCTTGTAAATGAAGTGATTTTTTTTTTTTTTTGTGTAAAAAAATTTTTTTTAAACATCCAGAAACCATGAGTTCTAAATCCTTTGCTCAGTTCTATGGATATCGCAACCCTTCGATTTCATGATAAATACCGTAAATCTAGGAAAAATGTGGCTTTTCTGCCTACCCCCTGGCATGAACCCGGACCACGAGAAGTTTGTCACCGAGTCGTCGCGAAGTCAGGTTAAGCCAACTACGCTAGTGAGCTGGGCATATGAAGTGATAAACATATCCATGATGTTGTTCCCAGCGATACAGTGTTGCTGTCCCCATAGGCAAAGTTTGGAATCCCTTATCTTGAATTTTTTGTACATACAGCTAAAGAGTCTGTTGTGTCCACTGTCCTGTATATGAAATGGTAAACTTATTCTTGATATTGTTCCCAGCCATACAGATGTTGAAGGATAAACCGCCTGGAACTTTTGTGATCAGGGACAGCAACTCCTTCCCTGGTGCTTTTGGTCTGGCCCTGAAGGTGGCCACCCTACCTCCTAACGTTCAGGCCAAGCCATCAGGTAAGCCGCCGCTGGTGGAGACCTTTCAGGTGCAGAATTGTGTTGCATTGTCACATGTAAGATCAACATAAGTTAAGATTGGAGTATTTCTACAGTTTTGGAATGGTTGGTACTTCAATGTTGTAGATGGTATTCCAGTGTCGATGATAACGAAAACATTGTGGATGATACCACAATGTTATGGGTGGTGCCGTGAGAAGAAAGGGAGGGAGGAGGGGTGGTTGCATTGCTGCATGGGGGGGTGGGGGGGGGGGGGGGTTGGTATCACAGTATTGTGGGTGGTACCACAGTGTTGCTTCAGTTTGCTCAGAAAATCTCTATAAAGTTCCTTGGGTGTGTTATCTGAAGCACATCAACAGACAGTGGAGCCAGCAGCTAGGAAGCCTTCTTCAGGACACAGAAAGGACACTTCGCACAACTAGGAAAAAGCTGCTTAGCTTTTAAAGAGTGGGTCTTAGAAGTGTTTAAATCCTAGAACATAACAATCAAATTATGAACTATGACCTGGAGCCGACGGTGGTTATGTTACTCTCTAAAAGGCGTGTATTTTAATTAAACTGATGTTATGAAAATAGGGATGGCTGTTTATATCTGTGCAGAAAATTCTTTAGGGCTCTCTACTCATACATCTTTTTTTGCCATCCTCTTTCTTTCTTACCTAATATTTTCATTTACAAGATAAAATTGATATTGACGTCCGTTCTGCTGATCTTTTTTTTTCTTTCAGTATACTAAGCCCTTGAGGTTCTTTGCTGTCATAATTCAGACTTGATCTTTTGTCATATTAAATCTTTCAAGACCTTGCTGCAGACTTCAAACAGTAGAAACTATTGGAGATCTCCATTTCCAGAATGTATTACATGTGTGTGATGAATTACTGTGGCCTTTAAGGTATCATGTATATGTAATGAATTACTGTGGCCTTTAAGGTATCATGTATATGTAATGAATTACTGTGACCCTTATAGTATCATGTATTATGTGTGTGTATTAATTACTGTGACCTTTATGGTATCATGTATGTGTAATCAGTTACTGTGACCTTTCAGGTATTGTGTATGTGTAATGAATTTCTGTGAAGTTTGAGGTATCATGATTTACTGTTTAAGCTCTCCTGCATGTACTGAATCCATGAGTTCTGGAAATAACTAAGATATGTTTGTTTCTTTAGGTGATCCGCAAGCAGATCTGGTGAGACATTTTCTCATTGAGCCCACTCCTAAGGGTGTCAGATTACGTGGCTGCAGTAACGAACCCGTGTTTGGTAAGATCTCTTATTGTATTTGTGACTGTTCATTACCTACTATTCTTGCTGCTCTAGTTCATCAGCTACTTCAGTAATTCTCAGTCAGCTAAGGCTTGGCGGGGACCCTTCTTTTATTTTTTTTTTTTTTAAAGTTCTGCTAAAGGATAACATACTTTTTAATAGTCGTACCGAAAAACTTAATAATTCATAAATATTATTTACCAAAAAAGATCATTCTAAAGTTTTTTTTTTTTTTTTTTTTTTATATTATCTTGTTTGTTTATAAATACTCACAAATAAGGATTATTCTTAATTTCAGGTTTTAAATTTGTATTTGTTATCACAGACCCCTCCCATTTATTTTGTGAGCCCCCCCCCCCATTGATCTGCATGACTGTTCTACTTAATCTTTCTCCTGATCATACTCCTTCTCATTCCACCTCCCAAATGAGCATAGATCCTAAATATCTTGCACCCAGGACTGTGTAGATCTGTTTCGTTAGAATTCTACAGGTAAAAATTTCTTTAGGATGAGCTGGCTAGATTGGCACTATCCCTTGAGAGTGGTGTATTATGACATGTAGGGTAAGTTAGTGTTAATATTATTTTTTTTTTTTTTGCTTTGGATCTTTGTAACACATAAGTTGTTAAATATGAGTCCTTATTAAAAAGAAAGTATTTATTACATGTTTGATATATATATATCAACATTACTTGCATTATTGTTTGATGTAAACTGTTACTTATATTATTTATTTGAAATACACTGTTATAGTTTGCGTGTTATTTCTTGAGAAAACAAGTGTATGCCAGCAAAAGAAACAATGTAAGAAGTTATGTGGTTATATATTAACAGGCAGTCTAGCAGCCTTGGTGTACCAGCATTCAATCACTCCCTTGGCCTTACCTTGCAAGTTGGTGCTGCCAGATGCCGGTAAGTAACCACACTATATCGTTTCCTCTCTTTACAGAAGTCTGAACTTTTTTTCCCTGCACATTTTGTTGTGGTTTACAGCTAGGCCATCTGGCCCAACATCTGTCATTGTCTGTGATGAGGAAATTTGTCTGTTCCCTCTCTACCACAAATGGAATCCACACAGAGGTGTGGGCTTTTGCTGTCTTTTGATGAAAGTCCGCAGTCACAGATTATTCTAACCTATATTGCCCTTGAATTGGTTGTGAATCTCGCTGAGTTGGAGATTGCAGATCTTTATGTGTCATGTAAGAATCATCTTATAAAAGATCACTCATTTAAACATTATTTTTATTGATAGATGGCTGATATAAAATTAAAAATATCGATTAATGTAGATCGAGTCTTTTATGGAAGTTTATCCACACACCTGTTGGCCTGGAGAGAATAGTAATGAAGGATGCAGTTTTTGTAAAAAGAGGCAAGTCTCAGTGAATGTAGATTCATTACAAGACATTAAACAAGCATGGCTATGAAAGCATATAGGTATGAAAAGCTCGGTAGAGGAAAAAAAAAGACTTTCAGGAGTGCCATAAAGAGAGCGATGTTCTGTGCAGCACCTGCTGATTGGTGAAACACCTTAATATTGTAATAGGGTTTGTCTAGCTGATGAGGTTGGAGCTGATCTAAGTTTTATTTGAAAGATTACAGTATCGTAAGTCCTGATCCTTTTAGCACAAATATCATAGTGTAATATAATTGTCTGGAAGGCATATGAAGTGCCAACTGCCATAAACTAATATGGGGGGGGGGGGGGGGGTGTGAAGATGTTGGCATACTGAGTTCTATCTGAGATGTCTAAGGAGACAGCGCACTTGTGAAATTACTCCATATCCAGTCTGGCTGCTTCAAGATGCGAAGATAAGTGATATTGTGTATTTATGTTGTATTGTCTAATTTGCTGTTAAAGGCTCCATAGCTGCAACGTTCACATTTTGTTTGTGTTTGTTATATTGTGAAGCTCACTGATATACTTTTAGTTCAGTTTTATATCTTTCCTTGTAAAATTGCTGTGACCTAATAGACCAGTGTTCTTCCTGTGTTTGCAGAGGCTGATGGTGTACTGGGCCCTGAATCTCCCGTAGGTACCACAGAGTTGAATTCTGCTGCAACCCTCCTGGCCCAGGGAGCAGGTATGTGCTTTTTTTTTTTTTTGTGACGCCTAATGCACGAGTAGAGTTACTGACTTCTGCTGGTGAAACATTCAGTACTTTCTTTGGTTTTCCGCTGTTGTAATTTATTGTCAGTTAACTCCGTAACACAACAGTAATTTATTAAGAATATCTATTATGTAGCAGTAACCTGTATTTCTATAATGTGGCAGGTTATTATTGTAGCAGTCATAACTCAGACTTGTGATTGTCTGTCTCCCAGCGTGCAATGTTGTGTACATCAACTCCGTAGACATGGAGTCTTTGACTGGGCCCCAGGCTGTGGCTAAGGCTGTAAAGGCAACATTTGAGAATCTGGTATCAGGTCGGACGACTGCGGTGCACTTCAAGGTGTCCAGTCAGGGTATCACTCTTACAGATAACAACAGGAAGTAAGTGCTACCAGTAGATTCTATTGTCTTGTCTTATGTAAATATATAACATACATTGGTGCCTACACACTTCGCTGGCTGCTGACTATAGGGGGGGGGGGGGGGGGTCACTTATGGACAAGACTCAGTTCGCGATGGTATAGAAATCCTGTTTCACTGCTTCATCTTTTTCTTCGCGTTCACTGGCTGTAAACTCTGGCAGAAAGTTCTGGTTGTTGCACTTTAGACTTGTTCCAGAACCTGAGTGCACATCCATTTTACATATCACATTTATTTGTATGCAGACTGTTGGTAATTTGCCTCTCAGGCATCTGCACTCTGACTTCAAAGGAACCCCCTAATTAGTCGACTCTTATGACATACTTGTTGGGGGAGGCAGTGGGTCTGTACTTGTTTTGCCCATAATGGGGCCCCAGAACCCACACTGGGAACTGCTTTATGAGATGAGGAAATCATTTCTTTTGCTTATCGCATCCCACTGTTTGGAATGTGCAAACTTTGCTGCTAGATTGAGACAGTCAAAACTAAGAGGCACAGTCAAAACTAAGAGGCACAGTCAAAACTAAGAGGCACAGTCAAAACTAAGAGGCACAGTCAAAACAAACTAAGAGGCACAGTCAAAACAAACTAAGAGGCACAGTCAAAACTGAGAGGCACAGTCAAAACTAAGAGGCACAGTCAAAACTAAGAGGCACAGTCAAAACTAAGAGGCACAGTCAAAACAGAGTGAGCATGATCGGCCGTTACACCCTTGTGGAGCTACTGAGGAGTTTGATATTCTGGAAGATATTCATCAACAGTGAAGGTGAACTTTCATTCTGGTTGCAACTGCTATCCATGTCGACTCTGTTAGCGCATGAAGAAGGAAACGTGTGGCAGTGATCTCAGTTCTTGCTTAATTCGTATAATCGTACATTGTGTGTAAGAGCAGTACACCTCTGAACAGTACCAAAGAGAAATATTGTAAAGCTATAGTCATGTGCTGGAGAAAGGATTGTGCATCAATGGAAAAGGTTCTGTATTTTGTAAGACTAGACTTCATCAGGGGCTTGAGGATACGTGTGGTTGTTTCCTTTTCTTTATGTTCACCGGCTGTAAACTCCTGCAGAAAGTTCTGGTCGTTTGTTTACTTGTGGAATTTCCCCCCCCCCCCCCCAAATGGGGCCCCAGAACACACAGGGATATTTCAGCTAATAAACTGTTTGTTAAAATTGTAACACTTGTGGTGGGGCCCCAGAACACACAGGGGTATGTCAGTTAATAAACTGTGTATATATTGTTTGTAAAACTTGTGGTGGGGCCCCAAAACACACAGGGGTATGTCAGTTAATAAACTGTGTGTATATTACTGTATATATTGTTTGTAACAGTTGTGTTTGATCTTCTCAGGTTGTTCTTCAGGAGGCACTACCCAGTGTCTGCTGTGACCTACTGCGGGATGGATCCCCAGGACAGAAGGTAAACAGTCATATGAAAATCAGGTTGCTTTCTAAAACTCTTGACGTTCTCTAAATATAAATTAAATACAGGATGTTTGCTAAATAGCACAGAAATCGGAAGGAACCATACATATCAATGCAGAAGATAAACAGCATTGACAGCCAGTAAAGTGCTTAACGTTATGATATGCATCATCCTTGTGGCAACAGGCAGACCTGAATCCTGGATAATTGTATAATTGCTGGCGTCTTTTTTACCTTTACAGATAATAGTTTTCCCATTGTGTATAGTTTCCCATTGTGCTGTAGAGATGCATAGGGTAGTATTGCAGTACCCTGTAGTTGCTGTGTTCCTGGACACAAAAACTCACTCAGGATGCCTAAATGAAATATAAACCGACTGCAGTCTCTGCATTAAATGCACAAGGCAGCCATTAGAAGTGCCAGCACAAACAGTCTGACACTAGAAATAGCAGCATGGCATGGTCCCTGGAAGTAGCAGCAGCGAGCTTTAAGGTGGACACAGAATATTAGAAACATTTCAGGGATATAATAAATTTTAAAAACCTTTTTTGTGTATCCTATAAATGATGTTGTGTATCCAACACCAACATTTTTTGGCTGTCTGTGATTTCACTTTGTAATACAACTGTTGAAACCAATGGCAGGCGTTCTGCTGCTAATTTGCCTGCAGCCTGGTACATCAGAATTAAAAAGCACTGATAACAATTTTTTTTTAAGCTGTTGAAAGACTACGATCCCCAGGCTTTTAGACTAATTAATTATAGCAAACTGGAGGGGGAAAAGCACATGTTAAGTTTTAATTTAGGGGAAAAAAAACAAGTTGTCAGTATTTTAAAAAAATGAAATATATTCACACACACACACTTAAGTTTAAAATATTGTCTCATGTTCTCCATCCTCTTTCTATTTTAATTACAGTAAAAGCATTTTAAAATACACCAACAGATCAAGAGTTTGTAAAAAATATTCTGACCAAGTTGTATTTGTAAGTTAACTAGGTTGCATTTTTAGAGAGTGTAAAACAATAATTATGGCAACTGGCTGTAGGGCATATTTCAGCATCTATTATTTAATGTCACCAAAGAATGAGTCTAAAAGGTGGTCAGCCAAAGCATCCAACTTGGTTGCTGCAACAGAAAAGGTTAAAGAGGCACTTCATTTTACCAGGTTTTAATCCCATATGACCTGTAGCTCCTATAGCTCCAGCAGCTACCAGATATATTTGCATTTGTAAACCAAAATGATGCACCAACAGCAGATAGTTGTGAAAAACTTGTCATAGAGATGAGGAGGTGCAATCTGGCAGGGCAACCTGGTTGGCAGCTAGTCTCATGCTGTTGCCAACAAGAATAGTGTAATTACAACTGTTTTCCATGTATCTCAAGCGATCCAGATTTATTTTGCTATCGGCCATGCTAGTTACAAACTTATGTTTTGAAAAAAAAAAAAAAAAACCATTATTGACTGTGCCCGTTTCTCCAATTTCTTAAAGTCGCTTGTACTTTTTTTCCCCCCAGTCATTTCTGCCATGCTGTCAAACTGTCCTGTCCTTACACTCCAGCTTTCCCACCATTACGATGTACTCCAGTTTGTCTCCTTCTGATGGTTTTCATGAGTCAGTTTCTCTTTCATTGTTTTTTTTTAATCTGTGTAGGATATTCTCATCTATGAACCACATTTCCGCCACTTACAAATAATTTGCCACTTAATTAACCATCCATGATTCACTTCCATAAATCAGGATTTAATTTTTTACAGCTCTTAGAATTCTTTTTCTCTTCTTAATTACAAAGAAAGATTGTATACAATTTTGTAAAATGCAATTTTTTTTCTTGAGCTGTTCTCATTTAACTTTTTACCCAAGTACTACTTGCCATGTTTGTTTGTATTTGCAGGTGGAAACGAGACCTAGATGCTCCAGGCACTCAAGGTGATGCCAGGTATGTATATGTGTGTGTGTATTTATATATATTTTTTCTGTTTTTTTTTTTTTTTAATCACTATGCAAGGTCTCTCTTCCAAATCATATCTGACCTGTCAGGGGGTATCATTTAGAATATACACTTGTTTCAGGAAACACAATTGTTGGAAGAATCATATTTACTACACACATTCTTTTAGGAAGTAGAAGAAATCTAAATTGCCGAGGTGCCAAGTTCCCATTGCCCAAGATAATATCAATAAATGGGTATCAAAGAAACTGGAACCTGCATCAAGACTTTTAATTTTTCAGACTTGTCCACATTGACCCAGCCTTTAAAAAAATGTATTCTAGCAACACAGACTTTTTTTTTTTCCATGAAAAGTAATTTTAAAACATCATTTGTGTAAATATCATTACATTATTCTTTAAAGCTTGATAGAAAAATCTCAAGGATCACTGGAGTCGCTGTCTTAACTCTTTGAGTCCCAGAGGGTTTAGCATCACAGGCCCAAGGGGTAGTCGAGAGAGATGTAAAATCGCGCATCATGCGTTCATTGGGCTTCTAGGCAGTATGAACGTATGATGCGTACCTTGGGACTTGAAGAGTTAAGTGGCTGTGATTTTTGTGTGTGTCTGTGTGATCGACCAATACCTGTCACTCTTCTAAATTAACATTTTCTGAGCCTGTCCCGATCTGAACCTTTTCTCACTGCAAGTATTAGCTGAAAATATATATATATATTTTTTTTTTTCCCCCCCTAGAATCTTTGGCTTTGTTGCCAGAAAGCAGGGTTCAACCAATGAAAACACGTGTCACATATTTGCAGAACTGGACCCAGAGCAGCCTGCATCAGCGATAGTCAACTTTGTAACGAAGGTTATGATTGGCCAGAGCAAAGTCAAGACATAAACTCTCTGCTGAAGAGACATCATCATCATCCCTTCATAAACACTCATCATATAAATATATAATAAAACTGACATTTATCTCTCATATCTCAGTAGTTGTCTATAGTAAAAATAAGCCTCTTACATCTCTCTAATATGTTGTCATATTTTATATGGGAAGTACTCCCATACTATTATTATAATTATATAGACAGTCCTGCCAGTGGTTGTAATATTTGTGTATTGCTTTGTGCTTGTTATTTATTACGGTATAATTTTATTGAGTGAAGAGACCATCACCATCAGGAATAGAGGATGCAGTATTGCAGGCCAGTCTATCATGATGAAAACTCAACCTGTGCTTGTCACTGAAGAATTCTCACTGAGTGTATATTTTTTGTTGATTAAATGGAGAGGAATGGCTACTGAAAACTGTATATATATAAATCTGGAATAATTAATAATAACCACAGATTAGCTTTTTTTTTTGGTTGTAGAGCTTAAATTTGTCATAGATTGGATGTATCTGCTGAAAAGCCTGTGATGGAATGAGAGGTTTTTAATTTTGATTTATAGGAGGAAACAAATAAGAGGGGGGGGGGGGGGGGGGGTGCGTAGTTTGAGGGTCAGGTGATACCGATATAGACATTGATACCTCACAGGTTTCACTCATGCAATAATAGAAATGTGGCCACCAAGATCCTAATAGGAAATGCAACCCTGGAAAAACCACAGCAATTTTTATCATTTACAAGAGTGTAAAAGATTTGTTGATGTTACTACTCAACCTTTTTTTTTTTACACATGCTGCCCAGGGAAAAAAAAAACTGTTTCATCACACTGACCAGAGACAAAGAAATACGTCACAAATTTATGAAGAAGACAAGTTAGCATCACTGTCAACGATGGATGTGTTGCCAATATTTGTCTGACACACTGGCCAGGACAGCAGCAAAGAGTCACTGTTAAATTGACCACATACATTTTATATATTCTTGTCATGTAAATTTGTTTATTAAAGCAATCACACCAATACATCTTATTTTAATTTCTAAAACTAGCAACCGTATCTCGCATAGACATTTTTTGGGTCAAATTCCAACATGATAAATTTTATATAAGTCTGGGCTGTCGACTACCCTAATATATGAACTGTTGTATGCGGTTGAAAGGGTTTATGGGATTGGTACCTGTTTAATTCTCATCCTTGAGACGCTAATCTTACAGACTGCGATCCTGGAGAGAAAAACTACCAACCCTAATGCAAATTGTTAGCGCCCTACCTGGACCCCGGAGCCCACTTAGACTGCTGTGAAAATACCTCACATGAAAACTGGGAATTAGGGGGGGGGGGGGGGGGGGGGTGTTTTGAGTGAGTGTGGTTAATTGTTTCAGAAGAGGAGGGAGAAATGTTTTATCATGTTTATAAGGAAAGGAGAGGGTCCTGTATACAGCTGTTGAATCTTTGTAGCTGGTGCTATATATTTTATATTTTGTAAGCATTATATTTTTGTTTGCCTTCAGTACTGCATGACTGATTTGTAGAAAAAAAACCATGCAGGTTAGAGATCTAGTTATAAGTGCATGCAAACTGTCATATATGTCATATTCTACAGCTGCAATGTCCATTACAAATGGGGAGAGAAGAATCACCCGTATAATATACAATTATGCTGGCTCTCATATAATTATGTGCTCTTATGGAATAAATATATTGTACATTCTCTGTTCTCCATTAACTGTTTTATTCACTAAAATTGAGTTTAGGGGGGGGTGTTAAAGTAACAGCAGCTATGGAAAAGAGTAGCTAGCGTAATAACTGAATTTTTTTTAAAACTGAATACAAGGCAGAGTTTTTTTTTTTTTTTTTAAATGAGTACTATTAGAATGATAAAAGTAAGACTTAAATTTAAAGTTTTCAACACATGAAAAACAAAAAGTATCTGACAGGAATGTTCTTCTGCTCACAGAATGCACAGAACATTAGCAAACAAAAATAGTTCCTACAATAATCAAATCTAAGATATACTGAGTCGTGCAATGGCTAAACCAGGTCAGTGGGGTTGCCTTATTTGGGTTTAACTACACCTGAAAATCTTCTCTGATGGCAGACAAAATGTCAGCTACCCTATTCAATCTTTAAAAAAAAATTTAAACTGCAGTACATTGCAGTGTAAGGGTTAAATATATTTTTTCCATACACTAGTTTTTTTTTTTTTTTTTTTTTTTAGAAAAATGACAAGTCTGGTTTATTTCATCTTGATTTTGTTTGTGTTTTTTTTTTTTTTTTTTTTTGCCCACATTTGTGGGGTCATTTGTTTGCAAATTTAGGTGCCTTGATTTGACTTAAGTGCTACAAGAAACATTTTGGTCTTTATTTGATTTAGGAATGTTTTGTAAAGGTCTAGAGACAAATGTTTTTAATTCCTTTGTTGTTGCTCCCCCCTGTTTGTATCACTTGTTCTTTCTCTAATTCTACAGCTACATAGTCTTTTAATAAACTTGTTATGCATGTAACTTGAAGTTCCTTGTTATTTGTGGAGCCAGGCTAATGATTTTGAAAGTATATATATATATATATATCACTATCTGTCCTTCTCAGAGAAGATGTGCTCGAATCAGGATTGTCAGAGAGAGGGTTTAATATAAACAGAACCAAGATTTGAACTAACAAATGCAAATTTCTCAAAATGACAAACTATTTGGTTATTTCTTGTGTGGTCACCCGAACACAGGTAGTCAGCACAAACAGGCTACGATGTGGTGCTTTCAGCACCACAAATTTTAGCAAACTTCAATTACATTGCCAGTTACAGTTTTCACCCACAATCGACTATGTCAACTGGCTGGGGTCAAAACAATTACTCCCCGTGTGTGTTCCGGTGTCCCATATTTAGGGAAATAAAAAAAATCCACGTTATGAGAATGAATCCTGATATACCTGCAAAGACAGCTCACATAGACACCAGAGGAAAAGAGAAAACGGGGCGCCCAAAAACAACATGGAGATGAACGATGCAAAGTGACCTGAGTGCGGCATCTTTGACATAGAAAACTGCACTGAAGATTGCACAGGACAAGAAAGCATGGAAAGTCCTCTCTGAAGCCTCATGTGCCACTAGGTATAATGAGAATTTATAAATACTGATATTTGGGGGAATAGGTGGGGGGTGGGGAAGGTACACCTGATTTCTCCTAATCAGCATGTCATAGAAGGTAACAAACTGGGGTTCTGCTGAAAAATGTAGATATTTCATTCCAGCGGTAAACCACAAAACATGCCAACAACCAATATAGAGAATAAGTGAGTACATTCAATAACTAATATGAAAAAATAATACATCTTATCTGAGATTTAGTCCCGCTTGCCACCTGAATTGTCATGCTGCAGAATGCTGGCACTATCTGAGTTGAGATTCACAAGACTGGTTGTATCAGTGAGGATGTCTATATCAACTGTTGCGGGCCTGCTTTTGTACAGGTAGGCCATGAAAACAAACAGGAGTGTGTCCAAGCCCATGAATGCAGCAAACATGAAAAATTCTGCTGACTAGAAAGAAATATTTGCAAAATACAGAAAATGTGATACTCTGTGGTGATTAAAATGTCTTGCAAAAATAATACTGTTTAGAAAAAAAAAAAATTTTTTTAACATGCTACACTGCAATCAGCACAATATTTGTAAAATTAAAATTAAAGAAATAAAAGAACATGTGCGAGTTATCTTGAACATGTAACAATGGTTTCTCCTATAACAGTTCCTCCATTCTTGGACATATCATGGTAGAAGTGAAAACAGAAATCAACAAGGGAATAGAAATGAAAAAAAAAAGATATTGTCAACAGCATGTGGAAACAAAAAAATACTGACATCTAGAAATGATAGTTGTCTAAGCGTATGTATACTTAACTCTGCTGTATGGTTCACAACCTGGACTATGAATAAGAAAACAGAAAAACTGCAATGGGTCTAGAGATGAGAATATACGGAACGGGTCAACATTCATGGAAGTTTTTGTCATGAAAACAAAAACAAGGATGTACTGAAGAATAGGTCATATTTCATGGAAGTTTTTGTCATGGAAACATAAACAAGGAAGTACAGAAGAATAGGTCACATTTCATGGAAGTTTTTGTCATGAAAACAAAAACAAGGATGTACTGAAGAATAGGTCATATTTCATGGAAGTTTTTGTCATGGAAACATAAACAAGGATGTACAGAAGAATAGGTCACATTTCATGGAAGTTTTTGTCATGGAAACATAAACAAGGATGTACAGAAGAATAGGTCACATTTCATGGAAGTTTTTGTCATGGAAACATAAACAAGGATGTACAGAAGAATAGGTCACATTGCGTGGAAGTTTTTGTCATGGAAACATAATCAATCAAATACACAGGTTCCGACGAGACTAGAAATGGATAGTTGCTGATGGATATTTTAAAACAGAAAAATATAAATATGTATATTTTTACCTCATCACTTTAGTAAAAAATGCATATCTTACCTGTGAAGGCATCAGCTGGGTCTCCGCCACAATGATGACAATCAGGTCCCCAACAGCCACACACAGATGCCAGGCTGCTTGCAGTAGTGACTTCATTGATGTGGGGGCCTGGTGAATGACAGATGGGTTATATCTTTAGTGGGGTTATTATGAATGTTCATGCATACTGGAGTCCTCAGGAGACATACAGAATAGAATCATGTTTGCCTGCCAATGGTGTAAGAGATGATTAAAGATGGTTGGTCTTGGGATTGGCCACTCCATTCTGTAGACAACCGCAGCCATATAAGCTAACCAAGTCTGAATAAGGCCAGTTATGGCACCAATTATGAATATGTCTACAACAGGCAAGAGTAACAAGCAGCCAAGTATGAATGTGTCTAAAACACACAACTCAAGCAGCCAAGTAAGAACAAATCAGAGACAGATACAGGACTGAATTAAAATATGTATGAACAGGTCAGTCTAAAGCAGACATGGAATAACACAATGCAGTCAAGTATAAACATGTC